ACTAAAGTTTGCAGATCAGCAGGTCTAATTGGCAACGACGTGCAGAATTCAGTATTTTTGCACCAGACCACTTAGATCCTGGTGCAGGAGTCGCAGACGTGACGTCTGTTATCGTCGTTCTACCCAAACTCAGACCTTGTGGCTCGTACAGGCTAGGGACAGTCGTGATCCCATGTCCTGACCGACAATCTCTTGCTCTCATCGATGCCTTGGCTATTCTGCCCATCGCCCATTTTATTGAACCCCTCATATCCTGCTAGTATAAACACCCCCTTGTATCTGCTCTTTCTATAGCGTTTTCTCCTCTTGCAATTTTTTCTTCACGCCATGCTTCCCCCTCTTCTGCAATACTGAGCTTTACAATTACTAATTTGTTTTCGCATAGGTCCTAGCAGAGAGCATAACAAAATAGAAGAACTTCAACACATAGCCAATATCTGTCAAAGCCCATCCCAAATTGAAGTTTTGTTTTGCCAAGGGTGTCAGTCAATCAGGCAGTCCGATAGTTGATGGGTGAAAATTCGTCACTAAATTCAAAGTGTATTGACTTTGCTAATTTGCACCCTCTGAGCACCGCAACAGTCCCGATGAACTTTGAACTAAACAACCTGCAGTGACGTTGCTTCCAGGAGTTCTTTTGGAGTCACTAGTGAGGCTACGGCGGGTAAGGCTAGCGGGTGGACGACATCAAAAGGGACCTCATTGAAGCCTAGGGTACCGTATGGCACAAGATGCCTTGGACAGGAGAAAGTGGCGACGTCTATCGAGAAGGGTGGGCCCCGCTACGGCGCTGTATTGACGCTAAAGAGAAGAAGGGGGAGAAGAAGAATGTGAGGAACAGCGCTATATGCCTCGGGAGGGGTCGGGGTCTGTAGTTTCCCGTCGGCGCTTGCTAGCCCGTGACGGTATATTAGCCCGCAATGTTGAGGCTAAGAGAATCTCGGGTGGGGAGCCACTTTGCACCTTCTAATTTTCACAAGCGATCCCGGTCAACCAGACCCTGGAGCTGTCTCTCCCTAGAATATTGGAGGATACGGGACTGACGCAAAAATACAATCTGGGGTTAATTGTAAACATCCAATCTAGAGCACTATTTCCCTTTTACGACCCCCATCAAAGCAAGTGTTGATCGTGAATTTGCCCTCATACCAAAGGGCAAAGGGTGTCCGAGCAATAGCTTCGTAATTCCTATGCCCACCTCTTCCACTAGGACTCTCGCGCCGCCGCCGCGCTCGCTACCAAGTGCTTGGAAACGCCCATTTTCGCCATCAGATATGGATAAAAACTCATTGAAAATACATGTTTTGTTCAACGACGTCTCATTTCAAGGCCCGTGGGCTGAAACGGGTAAAAATTGCTAAATTTGCAGTTTTTAACGAAAGCTGGTACTGAATAATTATAACATTTCAGACTTTGATCCTTCACCCCTTAGTCCGATCTTGCAGGAAAAGTTTCAAGTTTCAATACTGATCTATAGCCTACGCTGGTAGGGGGCCAAGACAGTAAACCGTCATGACTTTCCCGTCTCCTTTTGAAGCGGTAAAGAAATGCATAAAAATAATGGGCGCTATGGCTCTCTGTTTCGGACCACACGGTCACTGTGGACGGTGCCTTTGATGAAAAAGTGGGTCCATGGAAGCAGAAAACCCAGGTGAAAAAGCCCGTGGTAGCGGCAGAAATCTCAGCAGGTGACCGGCGCAATGCTACCTTGCTCCCCATAATTACACCTGAAATCTCTGAGAAGCGGTAGGCGTGGCTGCGTACTTCGACTAAACGTGGCGTTGACTGGGCTTTTGCTGTGATATTTTCATTTTGGAGAGAATTTCTGATCATGTCCTCGTTTAACAAAAAACGAAATGATAGCTGATTCGAATTAAAATATCCCCACGAAATATCCCATCCTGCAAGGTTTGAATGTCACGCCTACTCCGTCTCAGGTATGAGGAGTGTACGAATTCTCACCTCGCATTTGCCTGTAGATTCTTCAATCGACGCAATTTTGCGGCCTTTTCTCGTTTCTTCAATGCAATGAGAATACGAATATAGACGAACAGCACCAGAATACATGGGATCACAAACGAGATAATAGATGAGCCGATCGAAAATTCAGCATTGTAAAAACGACACTCGTGCGGATTTGCGTCCGGTGGTCGCACGTTCACGCCTGAAAAAGTGATCCTAGGAGAAAAAAGAAGAGGAGAAAGGAAAGGTCCGTGAGAAATGCTTGAAAAAATGGGCCAAGATGTTCGAGCAGCTCCGGCAATCAGAAAACTCCTCGGTGCGTGCAGCGTTTCCTATCTTACCTGACCTGGCTTGGTTGGTTTGGCTGTGATGTTATTCTACTTCAAAACATTTGGGTCCCTCTTGTGGACGATGCGTACGCGACAACTCCCGCAGCACCACTTTTGCCGCGCTACCGCAACCCGGATCTCTTGACCCACACGTATGCATGGTAACTTTTTGACTTACCAAATACCATGGGACTGGCCACGAGCAGCGAAATCACCCAGGTGGCGCCGATCATGGCAAATACTCGACGCACATTTTGCGACTGACGAGAGTACTGAATCGGCCGACTTACTGCTCGATACCTAAATTTTGTGGATCATTTGTTGAAACTTAGAGTATTTACGGCTTTTCCTCGATCAGACTTACCTATCAAAACTAATAATAGCGAGTAAAAGTATAGATGCGGTACTACAAGCCACATCGGATGCCATATAAATATCACACATCAAATTTCCAATGTACCATTCACCTCGTTGAACCTGAAATTAATTTTTTTATGAGAGGGGCCATCGAGACTTGATAAACTGGAGCTTTATCGATTTCAAGAGCACATCAAGCACTCATTCAAATTAATTATAGGTCTAGGTTTGTCAGGGTGCATACAGTACCCCCGAAAATTGCTCCCGAGATTAATTGTGATGGTTCCGAATGCACACAACAGGCCGCAGGATTGCGTGGCCCATCCAGGTTCTTTGCGTGGGTCTGTAACCTGTAGCCCCACCCTGGAGCTTCCTTTTGGGTAATTAAACTTGGGTAACTAAACCGGGTTACGGTACACCCATTGTGTGCGACGCAACATTTTTGAGTTCACGGGCCACGTGCTCGGGGTACTGTACTTATAAATTTGTTTCATTTGAGGACAGTTCCCACGATCAAGTGATCAGCGAAATGCCTTCGTGCATTTGACATCTAAGTCCGCATTCTCAGAACTTGTACTACTTTCGCTCCTTAAGAGGGTGAGGTGAAGCGGCTACAGACGCGTGACCCTTGCACACTTTGTTCTTTTCATTCTGCAAGACAGCGACTTACACGGTGAGTTACGTGCATGCATTTTGTTATTTGCAGCGTCGTAGGACAATTTCACCTGCTTTTAATAGAAAGAAAGCTATAGCTAAGATCTTAGCCTTTTGACTCTCCCGCGAGCTTACCAGTTGCGCTGCTTGCTCTGATTAGTAAGTCAAAGTGTGCAAAGTTTGCCAGAGTATACGTCTGTAGTCACTTGATATCGCCCTTCCGAGAGGTGAAAGTGTAACACGCTATGCGACGAGTGCAGGCCTAGATGTCAATTACACGAGAGCATTCCGCTGATTATTCGATCGCGAGAATGGTCTTTATTGAAATTCACCATGATTCGACCCCAATCCAGGGTCGTGCTGCTTCTGGAGTCATAATCAATTAATTCGGAGCAGTAAGTGCTAGTATCTCAATCCCATCCCCACCACCTCTATTCTCCCCCTCCCCCTCCCCCAACCCCTCAAATGAGCGTGAAAGCAACGAACCGGCTCGACGTTTATGGCTTTCCTTTTAATTTGTGATCTTTTGAGCTGGCACAGCCTCTACCCAGGCAGCGCCTATTCAGTACCCATCAACGAAGCGTGTCGCCTACTTGTTGGGCGACAAGCGTGACTACTGGTTTCTATTACACCATATATTTGGAACGGAAAAAACCGGAAAAAAGTAACTCCGGATTGAATGCTAACCAGGATGCGAGAATCGGCAGCAAATACGAGAGAAGTGGGAGATATCTAAGATGGGCAAAGCAAGCACCACAAAGCAAGGGAGGAAAAGTCAAATCGAGCTGGTGCAAACGAACGGCGCATTTAAAAGTTTCTCTTGTAGATTCCATAGTAGCCCACACTTTAGCCCGAATTTCTTCTAGAGAGTGCCGTTTATAACATAGCAGAAGTAAACTGAGACGCTAACGATTTCCGAAGCGCGCAGTTGATTCCTGCCTTTCGGATCGTGGAGCTTCCTCAGCGGCGAATGTCACCAGAAACCCGGGGTCTATTGGATACTGTAGCCATTTCTCACCTCCCAATTATTTTTTCATCCAGATCTTTTCCTCCCTTAATGCTCTTTGCGCATGTTGTACAGTTTTCATCCCCCGGCAGGACACGCCCTGCCATGGGGAGAAATTTCGCAAAATACAAATTCCCTTCGAAAATCGCTTCTCTGGCACGGCTTCCTTCCCTACCCTATCTAGACTCTTCCTGGGTTCCTTGTTCCTGGGTTTTCCACCCTTTATGAATTGCACAAGTCCCCACCATTTTCCGGGGTGTTTTTCCCCTTGAAGTTCTCCAGTCGAGGCACATATTTGGTTCGGAATTTTGGACGAGTCCGTACGACCCCTCCCCTTTATTTGGGGGCCGGTGCGACCACCCCTCCCCCGGCCCTCCGGCCCTCCTCATCGAGTCAAGCCGTCGAGCGGCGGGGGTATATAGCAGATACGAAACAGGAAAATCACGAAAGTCTCCCACCACTCCCAGAAAGTAGATAGGACCCCCCCCCTCCCAACAATGAGCAAATACGACCCCCTTTTACAACGTCCGTGAAGCGAGAAAAATCAACTATCAAAATAAATTTTTCTCAGCCCAAAGTACGACCCTAACCCCCCCCTCCCGGGCGACTAAATACATCCCCCCCTGTAGGGGATTCTCCAAAACGACGTGCTCTCGCCTCAGTTTTCACCAACAAAAAGAAATTGAGCGGATGACACACCTGAACGGAAAGCTGAGAAAGACCCATCAACCAAACAACAATCTCCAGGAGAAGCTACGGACCACCCTCCTCCGGGCCACGAGTAGGACCCTCTTGCGGAGATTCCAGGCGCTTCGATGTTCCTGCTCTCTTGGTCAAATTTCTACGTCTTGATGATTTCCGGGCAGGGTTCAAATATGCACTTATCAACAGAGATAATTGAAAGCAGGCTTGCTCTTGGTGTTATGAACGCCTGAAATGACCTAGGCTGACTACTGGCCCCTCTACCTAATTATTGCCTTCAACATTCATAAGTCAGTTTTTTGAGCTAATGAGGAAATTAGGAAGCAAAGGCTCATATGTATAGGGGCACTCTTCGCACTATTCCCAAACAAAGAATCTCAAATTCTTGCCTACTGAGGGTTCCAGAAGGTCTGGTTCCAGAGAATACGTAGGATAACTAGAAGTATTCGGATCAAAATTTATCGCATAAGCAAAATAACGTGAGACAAATAGGAAGCTCAGCATGAGCGAGCCATGAAATATTGATGAAAATGCAAGAAGAACTTTGGCACATGTCACCGGCGATTGGCGTCTACGGTTGCGAGGGATAAGATGAGGAAATGGAGTCGACCGCAATCGGGAAACTGAAACGATTAATGTTGCCATTTATCAAACGTGTGGTAGCGTGTTGACTGAGTCATTAACCACCTCCAAACAAACACAACCATTCAGTGATGCATGCAGAACCATTTGCACGAGGCTATCGCGTAGCAAGCTCGAGCGCTGACCTGTAGGCGTGGATGAGCGCGGGAATAGCTGAGGCGTTATTTGGCGCGATAGGGAGGCTGAGAAGGCGGGCCATGATTGGCGCGCACCGACGCTCGCAGTCCGATGGAAGTCTAGATTGACTGAATAAGTGTTGTAGCTACGCACGCGTATCTTGCTCGGTCACGTAACTATCCGTATGCTGTCACAAGATATGCGAGCGGAGGAATTCGATTATCCATGTACCGTTTTTGACATTCTTACTATCTATCTATGCTCAAAGTGTCCCTCTGCGGCGCAGAACCTATCGATCTCCATGGCGCGCGTTTTCCTATATCTTCTCTTTTAATTAGAAGACAACGGTTGTATCCATGATGTACGAAGCATCATAGGAAATAGCCTCAAATCCAGTATAGGGTCGCCCTTTTATGCTATACATTTTCTCCTTCTTTCAACAGTAAGCGTAAGAGTCAGGCTCTAAGCAGTTGCATGAGCGGCGAAGCGGAGGGCTGTCAAAGGAGGAGAGCTCGAGCTCGGCGTGAGCCGGGCGATCCGACTGGTAATTAATAAATCATCCATCCTACCATATATAATTCACTAAGTAAGTCTATCAGATGGGTGTGTGATTGTGCTGATGATGTGATTCTAATGTCAGTTCGGCTGTCTTTGTCACGAAATCATAGCACCCGTCGCCAGTGAGCGCGGGGAACGTCAGCAGAAGAGTCGCTATCTGATCCTTCTTGGCCAATCTTAGCATGATGTAATGGTTCTTGTATTTCTTCTAGCCTTTCCAGGATTGAGCAACTGTATTGAAGGCCTACGTTTCGGCGTCTTCGCCTTCGTCAGAGCCTGAAATGAAAGTGCGTTGGTAATTCGTATACCCCTCCAAAGCTGAACTATGTAGGAAATTAGAATTAGTCGGTGGTAGAAGTAATACAGAGCAGTTGACAACAGGAATCTGAAGGTTCTCTTCGTCGTTCCTCACCTTTTCCACCATCTTCTTATAACTTTTTTAGATCCTCATATGCTCCGTACATATACCGTATGCCTTATCGCAAGAATTAAATTTCATAAACAAATTAGGCTCCCCTTTGTAGACACCCATGTTCCGATTTCCGAATTTGCAAACTGCGATAACAAGGGGACAGCCAGTATGCCACCATGCAGGAAGTTGTTTATGAGCTATCTATATGGGTAAAAATCTACAAACTATGAAATATTCATCCGATTTGGCAATCTCTTCCACACAAAGCATGTTTTCCCTGAAGGTCCATAACTCCATGAAGATACTGCCAACAAATGAGCAAAACTCCGTATTGAGGTTGACTTCTTTTGTTCCGATTTCCGAGTCTCCACAGGTATACAGGAAAACTCGGAAATCGGAACAAATACGGTAGAGTAAGACAGACGAGCGGTTTGCAACTGGTGTCTTTTGTGGTTTCTTTAAATGGCAGTTCTCTGCCGCTTTTTCTTCTCTGCTTTTTTTTCCAAATCTTAAGAGATTTCCTAAATTTTCTGATATTTTCGTCCCAAAAAGCTTCTCCTTTCCCTTGTGCTCAATTCATAGCTAACCTGAAGAAGAACAAACAATTGAAAAAAAACTCAAAAAGTCTGCATCAAATTAAGTTTGTGAGTAGCCTCCTTCGAATATTCGCAGAGTAAACAACTCGTAAATCAAACATTATTCGCGGAATTTGCAGCAATGTCCAGGTGATTTATGCCGCCGTTCTTGGCATTTATGCCTTTAGAGCGCAAAAACTCGACGATCTCTGCTGCTTACTAAGTTCTTCCCATTGGGAAGTCCATCTGACCAAGGAAAACTCCTCTTCCGATTTGATCGCGTTGTTTGGCTGTTTGGCATCGCATTACCATAACCCAATTCACATTTAGTTTCAGGTCGATTCTAATCGTTTCCAAGGGAAGTCACCAATCGAATCACACGAAGACGCCGACCCACACATGACACGAATAAACAAATAAACTACTTCCATTTACCAAAACAAGACGACAATCTCCCAAAGGCTTTCCGTGTAAGCCAATGGTGGGATAAAAGGGTTTACAAGAGCAAGAAAATTGAAAAAAGCTTCGGAGGTCTATGAAAACAGGACGTTATTCGGCTTAGGGCAGATTTTGCACTTTCGCTGCTTCCCTTGGCAGGTTCTCCTTACAAGAGTTGACAAGAGGTCTCTAGGAAACCTTAATGCGTACACTCACTGGACTTTACAAGATTATCACAGCATAATGGACTTGCCACAGGAGTTTCACAGGTTTCGACTTGCATGGCCTTGACCACCCACAATTGGCGAAGATAGCGAAATGCAGCAAAATGCCCCCCCCCCCTCCCTCACCCGTCCCCTCTCGCAACCTGAACTGCACGTTGTTCGACAAATTTAGAAGTCAGAGCTCTGTACACTGGAAAAGTTGACAAAGCGCGTCCTGCTCCTTGATTCAGCAATCTAGGCATTCCAATTAGACGGCATTCATCAAAATGCGGGCAAAAAAGTGGTCCCAGTTGAACAGGTCCTCGGAGGCGCATAGTAGGTCCAATCTATCCCTACTCCGCGCCGCCTTCATTTTTGTCATGCGCCGTTCTCGGAATACATATGAATAAAGCACTCGGTGCCAATTCATCATTTTTTTGGGGTGCGCCATGCATCATAGCTCACTGCAGAATCATGTTAGCTGTTTGGGAGCAAGTTCGTCTATACCATGACTTTCTGGGCTCTCAGACAAGTCTTGATCAACTTCGAAGGGCAGGAAAGGATGCGCAGCTCCCAGAAAGTCAGTTCATGATCTTATACCAGGACCAAGCGCCCTATTTGCCGCTTGACAACCACCATACGAGCAAAAGTTAGTTGGCTTGAGCAAATCTTCAACCCCTTCGGCACATCAAAAACTATTCTTCTCGGACAACAATCCGCAACCATATAAGCCGCATGTTTAGGCGAAAACTAGGCGCCTTGCACCAGTTATACTCGCCTTCGTTTGTGAGAATTTTTGACATAAAAATTCGTAAAAAACGCCTGGATTTTCATGGTTCCAAGGACCTGGTTCGCGGGCTGTGCCCGCAGGTGACATCGTACCTGCTTTTTACTGAAGACCACATCAGCCGTATATATAATTTATATGGGGAGAATGAGGCGACTGGCAGGATGAAAGTAGCGGTTAAATGGTTCTCAGCAGTCCTTCCTAGCGGCTCAAATAGGCCTCTAGCATTCGAAGGCTTTCTCTTTGCCCAAAGCGCTAAGCCTCCAGCCCCTCACGGTAATTGTGCGTGCAATAGCATGTCTACTCGTCGGCACCACCGCGCTACTTGTCTTCGTGCGAAATTCCCTTCTTTGATCCTTCCAGAGGCTCGAAGACCATGGTCTACGTCAGCGTTCCATTCAAAACACTTCAAAAAGATTCGCAAGGGGCTGCCACACCAGCCGGAGGGTCAACCACTTGGATCCTTCAGAAGCAGCCGCCTTGTAATGCCCAAAGCGTTATTATGACCGAACAATGTTCAGAGACGATGTTTGAAAGCAGAGATCAAAACCAAAACGCCTCGGGCCACTAATTGTGCTGAAAAACATCCAGTCATACTAATGAAGTCTGGCGCCGAAAAAAAGTAGCGGCGGTCAAGGGAATGAATAAGGAACCCCTTCAAATTCAGCAGGCACATCAACCCACATAGCATCGCTTGTCCATGTTGAGTTCTGTCTTTGCTCTGGGTAGACGGAGAGCCGTAGAATGGTACACAAGCGGGCACTGTAGCAAGGCGACACCGGTGCTCGCATTTGGAGCCTCAACGCTTAGGATACAGGTCACCCTGACCCTTTCTCTTCCTCCTGGGTGCGGCATAACTGCAGGGACATTCCCAGAAGGCGGTGATTCTGCCTGCTTGATAGAAAATGGTTCTTTATTCTCCTAAACGAATAAAATGTCCGATCTTATGACTTTCCTCCGTTTTCCGCTTTCAATGCGCTGTGCACCTCTCGCTGCCCTCTCCCCGCACCTCTGGGAAGTCCCCTCCCCGTGAATCGTGGGAAAAGCTCCGGATAAACACGTGACATGTGAGGATAGGGAAATGGAATTCCTTCCTACCAACTCAACCCGCGCCTTGGCGACTGCGGGTGAAGATGATATCCTGGACGTAGCGACGTTTTCGGAAGCCTGCTCGATGTTTGCGAGCGTGTTCCAGTCAAGAGTCGCCCGATCTCCAGGTAGTTGGCGTGACTCATACAAGAAGTTTCGAAGCTGTTTGGAGATGACGTGAACTTCATGGGTCTTTTTCAGTACGGCTGCGATTAGAGACGACTTCATATAGCGGTGTACAAGATGATGGACGACCTGCCTCATGCTTTTATCGAGGAACACTTGGGTATCTTTCGCCCTTTGGTAATCGTATACCATGTCTTTCTATTTCTGGTCTTGTCGTGAAACTTTACTGATAATGTGACTCGCGCCAAAGCTGTTTTTTTGACCCCTGCACATCCCATATTAAAATGCCGCATAGGACCTTAAGATGAAGTGAAGCGGGCAGGCAGATCCCAAAAAAAATCAAGATAGGAACCCCCGAAAAGCTTCGTTATCCTTCCTCGTTATTTTGGTTGTTCAGCGCGCAGATGTTCAAAGGGCGGAGACGGTGAGCCGGAGCACCTTTGGAAATTGCGAATGTCGATACCAACAAGGAAGACGAACATTCTGTTGTTTTTACCTCCAAGCAATTGGCTTGAAAACAAATGAAGCAATTCGTACGTCATCCGCTCATTCACCGAATTCGCTGCCGCCGCCGTTTTCAGGGAACTCATGACGAATCTTCGCTGTCACTCATCAATGAATAAACCTTTCATATAGGAAAAACATGATGATCTTTGTGGCTTATTTGGTCCATCCCGAAATGCAAAGATCGCTCCATCAGACCGGCAAAAATGTTGCCAATTCATTTACGATGTTTGATGATTTGACACGGCGCTACCATAACTGAATTCCATCGGATTTCAGTTCGATCTTAATCGTTTTTCAGCACGGCAATGCTGCTGTCGACCCATAAACATGTCACAAACAAACAAATAAACCAATTCCAGTCACCAAAACAAGAGCACGCGCTTCGCAGGCCTTAGTGCAAGCCATTGATGGGATAAAAGGGTTTAACTCATCCTGTGAAAAGGGAAACTACGTCAGAGGCCAAATGCATGAGTAGTCAAGCGAGAAAGATGGAAGAGCTGAGGAATCCCTGTGCACTATGACACCGATCAACAGGAGTGATGTGACACGAAGAGCTCAAAAACTTGTGGGATGCGCGCCGCTGTTTCCGTTTTCGGCGCGACAAAGCGACGCTGTCTTGGAACGAGCATGTCGATCGCGGATACCGTTATTCGAGTTGCGCATTCTCGTCAGAGTGTTGAATTCTGAGCGAGGATTGAGTCCTTCTTCGCGAAGTTCAGGTGGCTAAAATTTCACTCAGCTAAACACCCTAGCCTCTTCCCAATCAACCAGGAATTTTTTTTTGTATGTCAGTGTCAATCCGTCAATATGTTTTTCAGTATGTTGATGTTTTGGTCTGCCTCCGAAAAAACGCCTACGAATTGAGCTTGAATCTCATAAATCACGAACGGTAGAAGGTTGTTTGATTGGCCAGGGCGAGGGCTGATCCAGGAACTGACTCCGGAATGTGCGTGTTGTTGTATGGGCAAGCGGACAACTCGCCATTACTTCTCCTCCGCTCCTTACTTAGGAAGGGAACATGACAGGAGAAGGGCCCCACTGATGTAAACCTTTAGGGCTCCGTATGGCCGGGCCCGTGAAAGTGGGAGGCGTCCGTAGCTCCAGCGAGACGAATTAGGGGTCGCCACTTCGCCAAAAAAACTTTCCCCAGGACAGGCACTTCGCTGGAGAAGTGGCCCTTATAGCTGGGATGTGGCCTTATACAATGCAGACTTGCGTGGCTTAAAGATGTTGCAGGGCCAACGTTCCTTCCTTCCTAGACGAATCTTCATAGCCATTGCATTTCGCTTCCCGGCATGGGCAGAGAAACTGAGCCAAACTTGACCCTCTCGATCGTGAGTAGCTAGCGGGCCATTTGCCACTACACCACCTCCGCTCCGTAGGCATGGAAGGAGATTCATAGGAGAAGCTAGCAACCAACGAACATGTGAAGCCAATCGGCTTTGCAGTATCAGCGTTCTGTCCTCAATTCAGCCATCTTGAAATTTCGTCCAACTGGGTTTTCAAAACAGTTCTGACAAAAGTGGTCCCAGGTGAACGGCCTCGGAGGGGCAGGTGGCCCAATTATCCTCACAAACTTGTATGCCCAGAGTGTGCTGCAGCAGCTCTGCGCTACTCCATGACGGACCGTTCCGCCTGCCATTCCAAACCTAGGCGCAACTATGCTACGTCATGTCTGCTCGCCTCTGTCCTCTTACTGAACAGAGAAGTAGCGTACATACCCACTTCTGAATTTGAGAACTGGCAGAACAAGCTGTAGTCCTGCCATGGCATGGTACCCATCCCTCTCTCCCCACCTATTCCCTCATCAGTTACCTTGGCTCCGTTTTTCTTCTACACTGAACTGCAATTCCACTTCGTCAAGCTCATGCTAAACACCATCAAATGAAATGGGCTGAATAAATAAAAAAATCCGTGCGTCATCCTGTGCGTGCATAAATTTTGAGTATGAATTTTCAAAGGTCTCCTGTTGAGCACGGGGTTTTTTTTGAATACAGGCATTCAGTTGTACAAATGGTACTTTAGTATTAGCCTAGTGCGTCACTGAATGAATACATAAATGGGCATAATTAAATAAACAAACAAATAAACTGGCGCGGTTCAGCCACGGAGGGGCATTTTGCACTTCCGCTGTTTTACTAGTTCCGGTTTACAAGTCCCACTCTGGTGAACCTGTGAACTCTTGCCACTATGGTAAAACCTGCCCACTCTTGTAAGCTCATAAAACGGCTCTCTAAATTGTTCGACACTCGATGGGAAGTAGCAAAATGTGCAAAATGCCCCCCCCCCGTCGCCGAACTGCCTCCATCCGTCACCCACTACTAAAATAAAAGAAAATGGTCTCGCAAAGAAACTTCAAAAATCACTTACGTGAACGTAGACCGCATAAGGCATGACGAACAGTGCGACCAGTAGATCTGCGACGGCAAGCCCAAGGATAAGGAAGTTAATTGCTGTCTGCAGAGCTCGATATCGTAGCACAGAGATGATGACAAGTAAGTTGCCAAGAATTGTGACCATCGGGATCACTATCAACAACAGACCCGCATGCTTTATTGGTGGTGGTCGATCGTAGTCCCATATCGTGGTGGTCAGGATGTGTGAGTTTTCCGTGGTGGTCTCATTTAACTCTGTCGACAACGACCACGACCCGTTAGGGACCATTGCCTGAAATCTGAGCGCTTCAGAAAAAATTCTACGGGAAATTAGTGAACGGAAACGGCGAGGAGAACGTTGCGGCGCAATAGGAGGAGGAATATGAGAGGAAAAGAGGAGTACTGACAAAAGGAAAAAAAAGAAAAAAAAGCGCAGGAAGGTTTAAGAAAGCCGAAAAATCAACATGGATAGTGACTTCGCGCTTGTTTCGAATCAGGAAAACGGAAGTGCCATCAGAGGAACCGGGAAATCGGGATTCTTTCTAAGGAGCTTCGAAGATTCCCAAGGTTCACAACTAACCACTGTTAGCCTTAGAAAATTCAAAGAACTCCTGGGAACTGGTCTTTGGAAACTTGTGAGGGCCAGGGGTATTTCCCCCGCCCTCTGCCTCCCACCCCTTCCCCTAAGCTGCCATTCTACCTACAGAGAACACTCTGCTCTGGCTCCCTACTGCAAAGAGCTTGAACTAGGTGACGGATAAATGACCCACCAAGTCTCAGCTGTAAACGTTGCGCAACAACAAAGTCTATGAATCGGGAGGGTGGGCCTAACTTCCGGAATCGGGTGGTAGGCAAGCAATTTCTCTCGAGCAAAAAAGAAAAATGTGCGAGGTCACAGGATTCCATCTCATCAAGAGAGCACAGGCGAGAACTGAATTCAAGATAACGCCCTTGAGATGCGCTTTGGCGGGATATAGAATGCTTTTGGACTTTTTCGTGGTTCCTGGGATACTGTAATCCATCTGTAGAGCGAGTGCAATAGTCCTTCATGGGATGAAAAGGTCCTTTCCAATTAGCTGTGAACGCAAAAAGTAATATTTCATTTGCACTTATGGAAGAATAAGAGACGATGGAAAAGAAATTGAAGAGGTCTTTCAACAAACAAATGCTGAAGGAAAAACAAAAAGATCAGGAATTGAAGGAAATAATGATTATTTGGAGCTGTTCGGCTTGGTGGGGGCATCCCCAGCGCTAGTGCCCTTGATTACTGTAGCTAAGTTTTACTTCGGTCCAACCTGTAAACTCTTACGAAGCTGCGAAGTAGGAAAAAAGAACTATCCCAATTATAGAAGTTTACAGGTCCTTACAAGGAGGCCTGTACGGGCTTGCCGATGCCATCAGATGCCCCCATCAAGCCGAACTGCGCTGAATATGAAATGGTAACATTCCATAAAGTAATGGCCGATGGAAACGGTGAAATGAAATCAAAAAAAAGAAAAACGGAAGGAAGAACAGAAACGGGAGAAAGCAGCATCGATGTGTGAAAAAAAAGCCAGAAGGTGTGAAACAGGAAAAAATATTCTAAAAAATTCTACCAGGTCAAAACGCTCCCATCACAACCCGCCTTCCCTCATTCTCCCAACCCCTTCGCACGGTCTGCCATATGGAGCCCAGGTATGTAGTGGCGCTGAAAAATGGAAGAGAATTTGTTAAGGGATTCGCTGTCAGGAAAAAATGCCGAGTTCGAGGCAAAAAAGACCGGGTGCTGGGAAAAATCCAGCCCTCCGACCCCGCAAGCTAGAATGGAGCATCCTTTCTAAGCTGCTCGCCTAGTAGCGTCGTTTTTCGCCGAAAGTGGACTTGAAGGGCAGAATTGGGAAGAGGCGGAGTCACTGGAGAAAAGCAGCTATCACTGGAGTAACTCTGCGCCTTAGCGCCTTTACCTTGCAACTTTCAACCGTTATGAACACTGCTTAGCGGAGGAAGGAGGGGGGGGGGAGGGAGTGAAGATTAGTGGCCCGCCAACGCTGCAAATTGCCGGTTTTAATGAGGCTATCAGCTTAGTGGACCTCTAGCGAAGCTGCATGGGGTCAGCTACAGGGGCGGCAACTAGCTACGTGTTAGGGCCAACTAGCTCTGGCAGAGTTACGGGGGCGTTCAGAAAATTCATAAAGCGGCTTTCGAAAGAGAGCATCCAAAAGCCTCACGCTCCTAAGGAATTTTTTGCGCTAAGCTGTTAGCCGTATCTTGAGTCCGGCGAGGGCATCACCCGCGGACAATTATTTAAGGGCTGTGTTTTCGAAAAAACATAAGCTTTTCGCGTCCGACTATATGTGGATATTTGAGCTTTCCAAAGGTCATAAATTCTAGCTCAGCGGTAAGACGCGAAAAACACAATCGCAACGGAACTGTTCCGAAAACAGCATATGGCTTTTCGCTGCGAATAAAGGTGTATTAGACTTAGACGGGTCAGAAATAAGGCCAGCGGTAGAGATGACCCGCATTAGCAAAGAATGATGTTTGTACTATGAAAAAGTTGCTGTGTTATAGGCCATAAGGTGCACTTGCTGAGTTCTGCACAAGAATGAGGAAAATAACTCTTAATCTGCAAATGGGATCGACAAATTGCGCCATTTCCACGGCTTGTCAGAGCGCGCAATGCGCTAGGTCGGTGGCGAACCCTAATGGACGCACCGTTTACCCTCGCCCTTTGTGAGCGCATAGCTTATGCAAGCGTAGAATAGCTTGTGCCGAGTAGCGCAGCCTGGAGATCCAGGGCTTTTTGCTTTCGGCCATGCGTACAGGTGATTATGATAAAAATTGCTATCGTCAGCGCCTGGTCTCCGGAACAACCGGCGTCGTAAGTGAGGAACAGCACTCGCTTGAAGGCCATAACGGCAGGCGATACACTTGAATCTCGGTCCAAAATACTAGCAGGAGTGCTATAACAGTGTAAAAAATGGTGAAACACATAACGAGAAGGAGGTCAAAAACCTGCGAAGAAAAGCCTGCTCGCTCTATACATGAAGTCAAAAGCCATTTGCGGCACGAGTTTCCCGTAGGCCAATCTGCCCAAATAACCAGCCGCTCACCGGTCACGGACTACGGCTTAGCACGTGCAATATCCCCTCGGCTCGTCAATGATTCCATGCAGCACCGCTGCCGCTTCAAACCAATCCTTTCGCTTCGTATTTACTTCGCAAATGAAACAATACGAGCATCAGGTACAATCGTCCATTTGGGGGCTGGCGGACGCGGTGGGCGGTTGATAGGGCCTTATGAGAACCTTCCTTGGGAAAGGTGCTACCAGCGCCTGCTCAGGGTCGCGGAATTCCGTCCTGCCAGGCGTATCAATCCTACTCGTCTTAGGAATTATCGTGCCAACTGCCTCCAAAGAAAACATTGACTAGGTGTGCCATAAGCAATGTAGTCAAAAAATAATTAACACGTTCCGGACCGCGTGACACACATGGTGTGTCATGAATTTGCCTCTATGCTGTCTTTTATTTGATTATTTTGAATATTCTTTCATGTTCTGTTCTTGTGAAAACACGTCTTCGGTTATCAACATATCCTCCCTCATGAGCGTTTGAAAATAGGGAGGAAATTACTGATCAATTTTTTATGAAAAATGATGAAATGATTAGGACGTGCGCGCAGTACGGCGGTCCGCAATGTGTTAATGTCTGAAGTAAGAAAGCAAAGTCACGTGGAAAATCAAGTAAAAGATAGCACGCTATCGTAAAAACTTCGTAGAAGGTCCAAACCAACCTAGGGAAATATAATACTACTGAACCCTACAAGCTGATATGGATACTGAAAAATGTGTCTAAAATGAGTATTCCTCATGGTCAATATTTTCTGCAGTGATCAGCCCAACCATAAGAGCCCAGCAAACGGCAGGGTTTGATTGTTGGGGGGGGGCACTGAATGAAACATAGCGAAGCTTGTACAGGCTACCTAGTTAGGACCTGTAAACTCCTGCAACAATAAAGTGGCTCACACTGGGCAGCTTTACGAGATTCAACATGTCTTGTCAAAGTGAGACCTGTCAGCAAACATCAACCAGTAAAAGGAACGCTTGGAAGTGCAAAATGCCCCTACCCTCTCCAAGCTGAGCAGCTTTCAGAAACAAAACTGTAAAAAAGTAAACGAAAACATGAGGGGAAAAAGATCGCGGAGAATTCGGGAGAAAAGGTACTATTAGAGGCATGCTACCCGATTAGCGTAGGGTCTCAAACCCTACTTAATTATGTAACCTAGATCCGGAATAGGGCACGTCCTGCCGCTGGGGAAAATTTTTGGAGAATACAACCCCCTTCCATACTACCTACACTTTTTTAAATTTTCCCAACTTCCTTCATTGTTCCACTTCTCAGCAATTTTCCGAAAATTTTCTTCTTTTCTCCAAAATTTTGCTGTCGCGCGTCTAGCGGAGGGGGGGGGGGGTTCCTGAGCAACTAACTATAAATTTCAACTATCAGAAATAGTAGTAGTACAGAAGTTTGGCGGCGTCACCAACTAGAGGAGGGGGTCTTTCAAAGGCGAATACGTCTCCGGCGCAGTTCGGCGACGTAGGCATTTTGCACTGTCGTTGCTTCACTGATTCCGGTTTACAAGTCTCACTCTGGTGAAAAATGTGAACTCTTGTGGAGCTG